GGGGGGGGGGGGGGGGGGGAGGAGGAGAGTAGACGAAGATGAAAGCAACTGACAGAACAGGATAAGAGAACAGGATAGAAAAAAGGAGCAGCATCTTTAGGGAAGAAAATTTCTTCGTCTCTGACAAGTTTCGGTTTCATGACCTAATGACTGACAGGCGAACTCACCCCTAGACTACGAGAGCTCCTGAGACTTGGATTATTATAAGAAAATTCTATGATTCAACTCTCCGTCAGTAAGGTTTCTTCATCATCGACATCGTCATTATCATCATTTCATTATCATCGTCATCATGGTCATCATCGTCATCGTTGTCGTCGTTGTTGTTGTCTCCATTGGGGTCATCGTTTTCATGAAAGTCATTGAAGTAGTCTTGGGAAGTAGATTTAGGTTAATAGGAATTTACAAAATTGTTTTACATTTCGCTATTGGGAGAAAAACGAATCGCTATGATAAATTATCTGAGATCTTTGCACATGGGTTTAAATACAGGATGACCAACAGAATCTAAAAGCAAGTTAATAAAAGTCAGTGCAAACTGATGTTCCAATACTTTTTCCTTATTTTGTATTTGCTGCTGGGGTGGGAATTGTAAGGTGAAAGATAAAGAAAAATTTAACAGAACCATTAAGAAAGCCAGCAAGATCTCTGGATACGATTTTAATAGAATGGATGAAATATATAACGCCACATGTATAAAAAAGATAGAAAGCATTATAAACGACCCATCACACTCCTTTTCCACACAAATTGAAAGATCACGCAGTGGCAGACATGTACCTCCAAAAACAAAGAAAGAAAGATATAAACGAAGTTTTTTACCATTTAGCATAAGGCTTTTGTCAGAATGGGCATAGATGTGTGTTGCTCTTAGAGTATGTATCTTTATATAACTCCAAAGGTCTAGTATTTAAATTCCTGCATGTGGTTGGATGATGCATTTGATGTAAATGTACATTTTGTCAGCATTACTTCTCCTTTCACATTGAATTTTAATGAGAGTAATGTATATAATTAATTTTTTAAATGTATACCTGCATGTGTTTTTACGGTCCTGTACAGCCAAGGAAAATTTCCCTCTGGGATAATAAAATACTATCTTATCTTATCTTATCTTGTCTTTGATGTTAATCTGAAGCCGGTAAAAAATAGGGTTTTTATAGTATACATCTAAAACATCAAAAAGCTAACAACACTACTCTTTAGCGTACACCTGAATTAAAAAAGGACCGCAGACGGGTGATCACTTTTCTAGACTCACATGGAGATGTTTAGACGGTCTTAGAGACAAATCTTCAAGCTTACACATAACTGTGGGGACATGATGGGGTCGCTGTCACAAAAAGAGCAATTTGTGGGCTTGATTAGTTATTCATTTATGGCAATGCTCCTGAGCTTGCCCCCAAAGGGTGGTTAATAACATTATAGGACTAAAATAAAGAAACATTTTAATTACTGGATCAATATATTTTTTTAAAAACCTTTTTTCTTTTGGTCGCTGGCCCAAGGGGTGCTCTGCATACAAAGTTCCAAGCACATTACACGGACAGACGAACGTGAAGAGTCAACATGGTGTACCTAATTAAACAAGCCCTAGCTGCAAAAGTCATTACTGAGTAAAATTGTAAAAAACGGTGCACAACTACCCCCCTCACCCCCACCCCACCCAACAAAAACCAAACAAACTCCAACTAAACCCTAAAAACAAATTCTGTACTGTGACAAATGGAGGCTTCAAAAGAAACATAATGATGATATTTAGATAATTAATGAACGATTTGCTGCTAGTAATATTAGGTAGTATATGCAGCAGCGGCGGAAACAAACCTTAGCAGTAAGAAATAAGATTATCTCAGAGAACATATCGCACACAGCTTTTAAAGTAAACGTGAATACGTATTCGATAAAGTGTAATTCCTCTGCATGAAATAGAATTACTAAATATAAGTATATACTACTTCCAGAGATAACGTTTTATCTGTAGGTAGTAAAGAAACTGCTCCAGTTTGATTGTACCGCCGGGATTTCAAAGGCAAACAACCAGGGAAGTATGAAAACAATTATCGCATACCATGCATACATTGCTCCAATTATAAGGCGTGCACTGTGCCTTATCGTTAATTATCGTACGGGGTCAGAAGGATCGGGCACTTAGCGAGCGATTATTCAATAAATCCCACGATCCTTTTCCGTTACACGAAGGCACTATCGAGGCGGGGGGAAAACCCTGAGAGGCCAGTTCATTACCATATCGAGGCTCCAGACCCCGTGAGTCACTATTTCATTCACGGCCTGGGAGGTCGTCTCGTCGATACTACTATCGTGAATGGCGGGGGCGTGTCGTGTTGTAGGGGTATATCGTGAAATATTCCAGTAATAATTCACGATATGATCTATAAACCCCTCCAAAACCACTTCTTCCTCGCCCACACTCCCTGTTTCCCATTTGCACGACACGCGTCCTTTGGGATTTGGAAATGCAAACTCGCAAGGGATCGCCGAGTATCTTGCACTTTGTTCTTACCTTGTTTGCGTATGTGTGTACTCACTTGTGTTACCCTTAGCTATCTATCTATCTATCTATCTATCTATCTATCTATCTATCTATCTATCTATCTATCTATCTATCTATCTATCTAGAGTGCTAAAAAAGAGAGCATGTGTGTGTGTGTGTGTGTGTGTGTGTGTGTGTGTGTGTGTGTGAGTATGTGTGTGTGTGTGTGTGTGTGTGTGTGTGTGTTCGTTCATGTATTTGTGTGTGTATTTTTTGTTGTTGTCTATTTTAAAAATGAGAAGCGCTTTGTAAATTCCTGATAGCCCACCATTAGCTCAGTCCGTATCAATCTGTGCTAAAGCGCTTATTGTTTTAACTTACAAATAAAACATTGAAGCCGCTATAGGTTGGGTCATTTACGCTCGGAGAAAGCAGGCGTTCCTCCAGCGCAGTCTACCTCAATGGCAGCATGGGGGATTGGTTCAGGACAACGGTCGGGTTGAGGCAAGGCTGTTTGCTCTCTTCCATTCTCTTCAACATCTTCCTAGAAAGAATCATGACTGACGCACTGGAAGACCACA